AATGTCAGATCCTCAAGGACAAATGATTGATTTACCTATTCAAAGCAATTTACGCGAAGGACTCTCTTTAACAGAATACATCATTTCTTGCTACGGAGCCCGTAAAGGAGTTGTGGATACTGCTGTACGAACATCAGACGCTGGATATCTCACTCGCAGACTTGTTGAAGTAGTTCAACACATTGTTGTACGTCGAACGGATTGTGGCACCGCCCGGGGTATTTCTGTGAGTCCTCGGAATGGGATGATGCCGGAAAGGATTTTTATCCAAACATTAATTGGTCGTGTATTAGCAGATGATATATACATGGGTCCGCGATGTATTGCCACTAGAAATCAAGACATTGGCATTGGACTTGTAAATCGATTCATAACCTTTCGGGCACAACCAATCTCTATTCGAACTCCCTTTACTTGTAGGAGTACATCTTGGATTTGTCGATTATGTTATGGCCGGAGTCCTACTCATGGCGACCTGGTTGAATTGGGCGAAGCTGTAGGTATTATTGCAGGTCAATCGATTGGAGAACCGGGTACTCAATTAACATTAAGAACTTTTCATACCGGAGGAGTATTCACGGGGGGTACTGCAGAACATGTGCGAGCCCCATCTAATGGAAAAATCAAATTCAATGAGGATTTGGTTCATCCGACACGTACACGTCATGGGCATCCCGCCTTTCTATGTTCTATAGACTTGTATGTAACTATTGAGAGTGAAGATATTCTACATAATGTGAATATTCCACCCAAAAGTTTGCTTTTAGTTCAAAACGATCAATATGTAGAATCAGAACAAGTAATTGCTGAGATTCGCGCAGGAATATCCACTTTGAATTTTAAAGAGAAGGTTCGAAAACATATTTATTCTGATTCAGACGGAGAAATGCACTGGAGTACCGATGTCTATCATGCACCCGAATTTACATACGGTAATGTTCATCTATTACCAAAAACAAGCCATTTATGGATATTATTAGGAGGGCCGTGCAGGTCCAGTCTAGTCTACCTTTCGATCCACAAGGATCAGGATCAAATGAATGCGCATTCTCTTTCTGGCAAGCGAAGATATACTTCTAACCTCTCAGTAACCAACGATCAGGCGAGGCAGAAATTATTTAGTTCGGATTTTTCTGGTAAAAAAGAAGATAGGATTCCTGATTATTCAGACCTTAATCGAATCATATGTGCTGGTCAGTATAATCTCGTATATTCGCCTATTCTCCACGAGAATTCTGATTTATTGTCAAAAAGGCGAAGAAATAAATTCATCATTCCACTACACTCGATTCAAGAACTCGAGAATGAACTAACGCCCTGTTCAGGTATCTCGATTGAAATCCCCGTAAATGGTATTTTCCGTCGAAATAGTATTCTTGCTTATTTCGATGATCCTCGATACAGAAGAAAGAGTTCGGGCATTATTAAATATGGGACTGTAGAAACGCATTCAGTCATCAAAAAAGAGGATTTGCTTGAATATCGAGGAGTCAAGGAATTTAGGCCAAAATACCAAATGAAAGTAGATCGATTTTTTTTCATTCCTGAAGAGGTGCATATCTTGCCCGGATCTTCTTCCATAATGGTACGGAACAATAGTATCGTTGGGGTAGATACACAAATCACCTTAAATCTAAGAAGCCGAGTCGGTGGGTTGGTCCGGGTGGAGAGAAAAAAAAAACGAATTGAACTTAAAATCTTTTCTGGAGATATCCATTTTCCTGGAGAGACAGATAAGATATCCCGACATACCGGCGTTTTGATACCACCAGGAACAGGAAAAAGAAATTCCAAGGAATCCAAAAAAGTGAAAAATTGGATCTATGTCCAACGGATTACACCTAGCAAGAAAAAGTTTTTTGTTTTAGTTCGACCTGTCGTCACATATGAAATAACGGACGGTATAAATTTAGCAACCCTTTTTCCACCGGATCCATTGCAGGAAAGGGATAATGTGCAACTTCGAATTGTCAATTATATCCTTTATGGAAATGGCAAACCGATTCGAGGAATTTCTGACACAAGTATTCAATTAGTTCGGACTTGTTTAGTATTAAATTGGAACCAAGACAAAAAAAGTTCTTCTTGCGAAGAAGCCCGTGCTTCTTTTGTTGAAATAAGGACAAATGGTTTGATTCGACATTTCCTAAGAATCAACTTAGTGAAATCCCCTATTTCGTATATCGGAAAAAGGAATGATACGTCGGGGTCAGGATTGCTCTCTGATAATGGATCAGATTGTACCAATATCAACCCCTTTTCTTCTATTTATTCCTATTCCAAGGCAAAAATTCAACAATCTCTTAACCAATCTCAAGGAACTATTCATACGTTGTTAAATAGAAATAAGGAATGTCAGTCGTTGATAATTTTGTCAGCAGCCAATTGTTCTCGAATAGGGCCATTCAAGGATGTAAAATATCACAGTGTGATAAAAGAATCAATTAAAAAAGATCCCCTAATTCCAATTAGGAATTCATTGGGCCCTTTAGGAACATCC